AATCCTTTGTTTGTTGCTGCAAATATTGACTTTATCATTGGAAATAGAGCTTAATAGAACTTACAGACTCAGCGGCTTTAGTGAGAAGCTTGTTTATTCTGCAGTGGATGCAGCGGAGTGGTGTTTCTCAGCCTCAGGAAGAATGCGTGGGGAGAGGGGAGTGCGTCTTCAGCTGCCGGCCGGTGACTAACCTTGCATTATCGCGCCCGAAAAGACTGGTTCCCATCAGTGTGCTGGTGCAGACCACTCCGGCACATTCCACTGGAGGAAAACATCTCCCCCACACATGCAGGCTCCAGCAAAACACATCACTCATTTCTATTGGGGACTGCATTACGCTGAAATTTGGGAACATTGAAACATTTGATGGTAAAACTGGTGTAGTCTGAAATATCTTGGCACGTACGACGTTTCAGTCCCAAGAGCTCACTTGTGGCTGTTTTGAGATTTGTGTTGGGCTGATCAGGCCAAAAAACAAATTATTTTCCCCCTCTGACAACACATTAGTTGTTTAATAAGCGTTTGTGATTATCTTAATGAAGTCATTGCTGGTGCTTTCCTTACCGAGCCACATTTCTGCATTGTAGAAGTAACAGATTTGTAAGTATCTATAAAAATCCTGATTCAGTTTTCAGCTCTTCAAATGACTCAAACGTATCTCTCACCACAAACATACATACTGTAACGCTGATTACACTCTGTCCTTCCAACGTGAAAAAGTTAGGTCTGTTTTTCCAGGTTGAAAACTTAGAGAAGGCGAGGGCCAGATCAGTATTTTTGCTGCATCCAATTTGTCCATGTTTTGTTGATTATCTTGGTGACGTTCTTGACGTAGCTCTCTTAGCGCTGCATGTACCGTGACGTTGCTAGCCTCATCTAATGGTACTTACTATTTATGCCAAACGTGACATGTACATTTACCCATAGTTTATCTTATCTTACAACTGATGCAGGGTTAAAAGCCAGAGAATTCAAAAGGATCTGAAGACGGGGCTTAAAACACACCAACTGTTTTGAAGTGTGTGTGTGTGGGGGGTTGGAGGTCAGCAAGACGACACCTGTTTGACTCCAGGAGACCGGAGCAGGCCGCTGCAGGACAGGAAGCAGGTCCTGGGTTTGGATTGCACCTAGACTTTCTTTGTGGAGTTTGCATGTTCTCTCGCGCCTGCGTAGGTTTCCTCTGGGGGCTTCGGTTTCACTAAAAACATTTCAATCGCAATGAAAGCAGAAGCCTTAAAGGTATATAGGAGGATTTTCATTAATTTTAGGAAAGAACCACCCTCTCCACTTTCTGATCTTGTTTGACGGGCATGTTTCAGAATGATTGACAATTAGGAGGACCAATAGTCTCATGATGATCCACCCGGAAATAGAAAGTCCTCCTATATACCTTTACGAAGTAGCCTTGATTTGAAAAACTCAAGAAAAAACGATAGGCAGTGCTGGTGAGAACTCCGATGAGTAAACAGTGTGTAGTTATCTTTTCTTTCCCTCATCTATCTTGTGTTATGACATCACCTGCTGGTTTGGGGATTTGAGTGTCAAATCTAAAACACAAATGTCCAATCTGGTTAAAACAGAAGCCTGGACTTGACACGTGCTGCATACGAGGCATAAAGACAGAAATGATCAAAGCAATATTTTGACTTTTTCATTTTTTATTTGTTTTGTTATGGTTTATTGCATTGTTGTTTTAAAGAGGGACTTATAAAGTGCAAGTTAACCTTATTACTACATTGTTCCCTCATCAAAAACAGACCTGGAGTACGATTATTATGATAGTAAAAAATTGTTTTTAAACATTTTTAAAGGGTAAAATGTTGCCATACCTGCATTTGAAAGCCAGATCCCGTCAGACATCCGAAGATAAGCAGGACAGGGCCTAGTTAGTGCTGTGATGGGAGACCTCTGGGAACGCCAGGTGCCACAGTGGGGCGGCTGCGGCTGTAAAGTGTCCTTAGGCAAGACACTTCACCCATGTTAGAATGCGACTGTCGCGTGTGTGCATGTGTGTGTGTGTGTGAATAGTTTGGGTGGTTGGAGGGGGTGATGGCACATACTGGTTGCCTTGTTTCTCTCAGTGTGCCCCAGGGCAGCTGTCAGTGTGGCTACATTAGTTATAGTGAATGAATGACATATGAGGCGTCTTTGAGTGTCCAAAAAACCACTATATAGAACCAATGTATTCTCATTAATATTATTAAAACAATGCTTACTATTTTTTCTCAAAGCTACTCTGGTCCAAAGCAATTTTTACTCTGCAGGAAGATGAGATATTTTGAAATAAAATACCTTGCATTTGTATCATTAAAGCATCTACCCAAAAACAACCAAATTAAAATCTGCAGCTGTGGCCTTAATATCTCATTCATGAGAAACAGAAAGAGCAATAAACGAACCTTCTCTGTATTTGTCGACCTGGATCAAACAAAAACACTTGTCAAATTCAATCCCAGAGGAAGAATGCAACAGAAAGCAGCTCAGGCCTCTCTGTACGGACAGTTGTGAAGCACATTGTCGGATGATCGTGCGGCTCTTCGACTCGAGGAAACAGCTTTAAGTTATTAAGACGACATTTACAAAGATGACATATTCAGGAGAAAGTCTGGGGCCCACAAAATTGTCGGATGGAGTTTGACATTCCATACATTACAAAGTGTCTGCAGCATTGTGGCCCTGAGTAATGTCTCAGAGGCTAAGCAGTGCGGGTTCTATGGGTGCAGGTGTAAAAAGAGTATATAAGTAATGTTTATTTTTGTAGCGCATTTTACAGAGGAAGGTCACCCAAAGCCCTTCACAATGAAAAACTCTCTCTGGACAACTCTCTCTGGTCTCTCTCTCTGGTCTCTCTCTGGACTCTCTCTGGACTCTCACTCTCTGGTCTCTCTCGATGGTCTCTCTGGACTCTCTCTCTCTGACCTCTCTGCTCTCTCTCTCTGCTCTCTCTTGAGTCTCTCTCTCTCTCTGGTCGCTCTCTGGTCTCTTTCTGGTCTCTCTTTGGTCTATCTATCTCTCTGTTTTCTCTTTGTACTCCTTTCCAGCACCTTTCAAGCAAACCACACGTCTCTCTTAAGCTCACAGTCAGATCTCCAACTGATTACAGCTTGTTTGGGGCCAATGTGTAATGATCCATGAAACTGCCATGTCCTTGTTCACACATATGGAGACGCAGAGGCCCTGAAACATGTGAGGACACCGTGGGCCTCTGGAAGTCTCTGGAAGAATGCACAATGTGTTCTCTCCAAATGTGAGAAGTGTCCGTCAACTTCCACCCTCCTCCTGTGGGAGAGAGCACAGACCTGAGCAGAGAAAGTTCCAGCTCCAGGGGGCCCCAAGAAAAAGCAAAAGCAAGGAGCCACTTCACTGTAACTCGGTCACTCACAACGACGTTCAATCAATGAGTAAATCAAGATGTTTGTTTCAAAAACTGTACGCACAACTTTTGCAGAAAAAAGTAATTAGGTCAACGCTTCTTATACATTTTAGAACAAGGTAAACAAAAAAAAACAATATTGTTATGCAAAAGCTATAACCCGTAAGACCACTGAAGCCAAGCAGGGCAGGGTCTGGTAAGTACTGTGATGGGAGACCTCTGGGAACACTAGGTGCCACAGTGGGGCAAAACTGTTGCTCTGTCCTTAGGCAAGACACTTCACTCACATGGCCTAGAATGAGTTGATGTGTGTGTGAACGGTTGGTGATGGTGAGAGGGGCTGATGGCACATACTGGTTGCCTCGCTATTGTCAGTGTGCCCCAGGGCAGGTGTGGCTACAGTAGAAGTTTATCACCTGCGTGTATAGAGTGAAAGAATAATGGCAAGTGAAGCGTCTTTGAGTGTCACAGAAGACAAGACACAGGCCCAAACACTCTCCGACCCAACACCTCTCTCCCACTTACTCGCTATGTGCTGAAGGCATCACTCGCTTTCCTCCACGTACAGTAAAAAAATAGTTATTTAAATGCATTCAGGTTTTTAAGTTATTTTCTAAACCAAATATATATATTATAACATTAGAATAGTCTGGATCTCAATGGGAGACTATGGGAGCACTACTCTTCTTTCCTGTGGTGTATAGATTGGGATTCTAACTATCTGCAAGTTTGCTCTTAAAATCAAAAGTCTGTCTTGCTTTCTGTAGATTTTCCCTCTAACTTAACCTGGTGGTGTAATTTTTTATTTTAGACTGTTTTCATATACACATATATATATATTAAATGGTTGATGAATGAGAGCGGGGAAATGACAGTTTTACCATTAACAACACTAATGAGGATTACACATATGTTAGTGATCAATAAAGATAGTTTTGTTGTTGTGAAATTAGAGAAGCTGTCCAATTTATCCCATTTTAATCAGAGTTAATATCCTGTCATTTTGTGTTGTTCGTGATGAAGAGGCCAGCTGCCACTCCTCTGACAGCTAAAGTGTCTGTTTTGAATAGAGAGTTTAGAGACTTATTTATATGTTCTGTGGCAATGATTATAATACGTATAGTACATAACATAACACAAGAACATAATTTCATCTGAGAAATTGTCAAAACTAATTCATGGGAAATATATAGGTATTCATTCAAAGGCAGAAAATTGTAATGTCATAGTGGTACAATGAGATCATACTATTACTAGACGGGAGCTTTTAGACAGAAGGGGCGGAGCTATTTGTTTTTGCCAGATTTTAATGTGCGTGTCTCTTTAAAAAAACAGTAGAACAACCCATAGTAAAACAAATGACAATTAAGAAGATCCTGATAGCATGGATGGATCTAAAATCAACTCCAGGTATGTTTGATAAGTGAACAGTGCACATTTTGTTATTGCAAAACGTGGCTAAATATGTCTCCTTTAAGTTCACTTGCAAACTTTAAACAAGAAATACACACGAGCAGCAGTTGTTTTACCTTTTATTTGAATGTGAGGTTTTTTGTAGTTGTGTACTGTTGTGTAATGAGTTGTGTGCTGTTGTGTAATGTGTTGTGTGCTGCTGTGTTGTGCTCAGGCCGGATCCTGGACCTGAAGACCGGCACCGTGAAGAAGGAGGGCCAGCAGTCGTCCATGAGGATGTGCATGGGCTCTCGTCGTTCCTTCATCTGCCGCATGAGGTGGGTCACTCTGCCCTGGACGCACACACTGGTGCATTATGGGTATCTTGCTACTGTGTCTGGGACTGGACTGGGTTGGAGTGGACTGGGTTGCGGCGCTGGGCTTTGCCGGAGAACAGTGATCATTGTTGTATATTGTAGTATAAAATCTTCTTTATGCTAAAATTATAGATTTTTTTTTTTTTTTTTTACTTTTTCAGGAGGTTAGACCTAGGTGTAATTTTTCCACATATTAAATATTATGGCGTTAATTTAATAAAATAGATTACATTTTCTTTCAGACTTGTATCTTTCTTCCACGTTGACACCTCTGTCTGATAGAAGAAAGCAAACACTTCTATGGAAAAGCAGACTTAACTTATTATATTTAAGAGAATATTGATTTGATATTGTGACATTGTGGCGGCTGCTGACCTGCTGCAATGAGAGTTCCCTGGAGCTGTGCTGATACCAGAATAATGTGAATAACAGGAAACCTTTGAATTGAAAACACACTTTTTTTTTGTGGAGTCAGTTTAAGGAGTCCAGAAACTGAGTCAGAGCAGACCCAGAGAACGCCACTTCCCTCCAGGCCTGGTACTCATGCAGGCCTTGTGCCACAGTGGGTAAAGGTCAGTGTTGCATCCCCAGCTACAGAACAGCAGAATAAGAGCACGCAACACAAGATAAATAAACAATAACTCTAATAACTTCTTTTAGCATATTAAGAAATCCATCTATAATCCAACTTTAGCAGAAGGAATAAGCAAGCAATAAGAATGGCTTCTCAAACCAAATTAAACAAACTGGATTAACCAATACAAATCAAACCCTCTTTTGGTTTTTTTAGTTTGTTTAATTGGTATTTTTCCTGTATTTATTTATCTATTATACTTTTGCGCCTGCTGAAGGACTATGGGAGGAGTTTGGGTATTCCAGTGAAAATTGGTTAATTTTCACTGGAATACAGCAAATATGGGAGAGGGCCCATCTGGATTTTTGTCTGATAACATTTGAGTTGAGTGAGTATATTCTTTGTTCAGTTAGCTCATTCCATTTTAACCATAGAGACTACTTTGAATAGTTTTACTGGAAAAGTTGTGCTACATCATTATGTCACTGGAATAGTCATATAGCTCAAGTCACAGAATACATTTCCTTTTGTAAATCCATTGACAATCATATTTAAACGTCAGTCTATTAAGATGGAGACTGGTTTATCGTGTGGCTGTACCCTGACCTGGCCCAGACTGCGTGGGGCCGAAAGCTTGCCCCCGCCGTAAAACTACATAAACAACCGCAAAACAGAATGAGCCGTCAGCAAAGATTTATGAAAGCAATTTTCAGTATATTTTTTATAGAGAGGTGCCGTATGTTAGTGTGATTTGTAGCGTGGGCTGCTGCTGCTGACAGATGCAATGAATTGTGCTGTTGATTAAAAAGGGAGAGAACAATGGAGTGCTCACCTGAAAAAGGACGTCCAATATGTCGGCAGAGTCCAAACGTTACAAGGATAAAGCTCAAGTGAAATGAACATATTTCCCTAAAGTTGAGATTCAAAAACTTGTCTCCATGCTGACTCACTTTGATTTACAGTATGTATAAGTATTATGCATTTGTTTTGACCATTCAAAAAGATAATCCAACTATTTTGTTTTTGTATTAAATTTTAAATAATAAAAGTAGATATTATATGGTAAAACAACTATGAAGGGAATAAAACCTGTTCCGCCTTTAATTCCATATGCTGCCACCAGAGGGAGGCGTCAATTTTTTTTATTTATTATTATTAATTAATTTTTTCAATTTTTCAAAAAAATACAAAGCCATACCTTTTTTTTATTGATAAAACTTGTATTGTGTAAAAACTCGTTTATGGACAATGATTTTCATTTAACACTACTAGAATTCCCAAAGCTGTCATTTTCTCTGCTCTCTTTCAAACCGATGAAATAATAAGCCACAAAAGCCAATCCAAGTAATGTATGAGGGTTTTACCTCTACTTACTCGTACCAAGTTAAAAAACAGTGTTACTATGGTAACTAGCAAGTCACTCTTCTCTGGTAGAAAACCAAAGCAGTCCAGAACCAGTGCAGACCCTTGAAAGAAATGATCGGCGGTGATCAGAGGGCACATGCTTGCTTAACTTCTGTGTCAGTCTGTCCCAGGGCAACTGTGGCTACAGAAGTACTTTACCACCGCTGCCCTCTGAAATATCTTTGGGTGTCATGACTAGAGCTATAAAAATGTTATGCCTTATATATTAGACAAAGACTTTGTATTCTGATTGTTTTATACAAGTTTATTATACACATAATTGTTTATTGTACCTTTTATGTTCAAAATCCGTGCAACCAGAAACATGTTTGCATTGACCCATCATTCCTAGAGAGGACTCCAGTGCAGCGCCTGGAACCATCTCCAGATGGTGATCCTGGGTTAGATAAGGGCAGAAATATGCAAACTCCACAAAACTAAAGCTCCAGGATTTGAACCTCCTGAACAATGTAGTTTTCCTCGTTTCATGATCACGGTGGAATAACAACGGATTCAGGTGCTTGGTACTTACAATATATGTTTAGTATAATACATGGTGTGTACAAAGCTGCAGTTTATTCAAAACCCTGCAGCTCGAGTCCTGACTAGAACCAGGAAGTACCATCACATTAGTCCAGTTCTCAGGTCTCTGCTTCCTGTGGCTCAGAATAGACTATAAAGGAGCTCTCCAGGGCCTCTCATCAAAGTACATCCAAGTCATCCAAATCTGGAACAGTCTTCCTGAAAATGTAAGACAGGCCTCTGCTCTGACAATGTTCAAATCCAGATTTCAAAGCCGTTTAGCTGTGACTACAACTGAGGGATTGGATCTTCTTTCTTTTTAACGTACTGTGATCATTTTGTGTGACTGTCTCTATCTCCTTTTGTTAATCCCTTTACGGTTGCCTTGTGTATGAACTGTGCTATGCCAATAAACCTGCCCTGCCTTGGATTATCCTGTGTTTGCGCATTAAAATCCTCATCAGCAGCAGCAGCCTCCGTGGCTCCTGCCCCAGCTCCAGAGCACACACTTAAGCCTGGTGTTGTGGGTCTTGCACGGAGGAGCCGTCACACAGACCTCCGTATCTCACCACAACAAAAGCCGATGCGTTCAGCTTTTTGGAATGTGCCCCGACTCTGTTTGTGCTCATCCTATTTTAAGGCTTTGCATAATTCAAACAACATGGCCGTCTGCCGCTCTGACACGTTCAGAGAGCGGTCCTGGAGAGACGGTGTTATTGGAAACATGCGGCCAACGTAACGTCCGCAACACGCAACAGGAAAAGTGCTCCGCCATGTAAATGTGCTGGCCCCATGTTACACACCTGACCTCTTCTCTCTCATAACATTCCGTACATTTGTGTTTGCGATGATAAGGAGATTGAATGAGACGGATGAGTTAAAGATGTAGCCCTGGCTGATGGAGTCCAGAAAGTGAAAGTCCAGATTGTTCCACAGACAAGATGTGTTTTGTGTTATGTTCAGGCGTCTTTGGTAACGGCGAGGGTCATGGCCACCGCTCTACAACTATGTAGATGTACATTTCTCAGCATGATTGGTTGTAATTATTTCCTGGGATTAGTTTACGGCGAGCAAAAGTAGAATATTAGTAAAGGGTCAGTTAAAAAGTGCTTAAATAAAGTCATTTTCATCTGAGACTGTTTATCCTCGACCGTTCTGCTGAAGGTCTAGAGGTGAACGTGGAGGACTGTGATCAGAACTTCTTCCTGTTTTCAAACACCATCCGAGGAGGAGATAGTTTACAGCTATAGATAAATAGATAGATACATAGATATAGATATATAGGTAGTTAGATGTAGCATCTGGCTCAACTGAGAAATTAATATCATAATATCAAATTATTTTGAAGATACTTTTTTCCTATTATTTTGTCCTCATTTGCATTTACTATTACAGATATTAAATATCTGTAATTATTTATTCATAACATGCTTTTTATAAAGACATTTGTGTGGCTAAAACAGATACTGTAGCCATATCTGCCCCGGAGCAGACTGAAGGCCAATGCACTGAGATGCTTTGACGTGTGACAAAAAAAGCGCAAAGAGCCTCCTTTATTTTTAGAGAGAACTCACACAGGGCGCGGCTGCTGAGAACCTCAGTGAGAACCTCAGTGAGAACCTCAGTGAGAACAGACACATGTGTGGCACAAACACTGCTGCACAGTGTGAGGACTGGAGCGAAGGAAGAGACACGACTCTCACTGTTCTCTACTTTGGAGGAAAATCATGAGAAACACTCTTTGTCCATCGCTGAACAAGTTTTGAACAATGTTTGTCGTTCTCTTCTCCCACAGTCGTCTGTTGTGTCCCTCACCTCATGTTGGAAAACACTGCACAAACTGTTTTAATGCTGTCAAAGAACCACACAGCGCTCAGACTCCTGACGATAGTGAGGAGCCTGATCCTTTACTGTTCTAAACGTGACTGCTGGTGTGTACCATATGACAGGTGTCACAGGCACAGGCCGCTATGAAGAGGCTGGAGTTGTTCTGTTTCCTGGTTCATCAGCGCAGGTCTGAGGGTAAAGAAGTGTTCTGGTGTAAACTGACTCAAGTAAAGGTCAATCTCTTTGTGTAAATCAGGATTTGACCGTCTGCTCCTGTATTTATCTTTGTCTGATGACAGGAGACTTTGACAATATGAAAAGTGTCAAAGTCAAACACTGTTTAAATTCAGCCTCATGTTTTTATTTTGTAAAGTTGTAATGATCATTGTATTGTGTGTGCGCAGGTGTGGCAGTGCTCCTCTGGATCACATCTCTCTGAATCGCCTCTCCAACATGAGGAAACGATACAGGTATTGTGGCCAACGCAGTATAAAATCATTTATGGTTAATTTTCTCTTAATTGGTAATTATTAAGCACTTATCAGTCCTTCTTCTCCATGGTCTTATTCAACATCTATCTAACTAGTTACTTCACTTTCCCATGTGGGTTAGAGTTAGAGTTAGGTTACACTTATTAGCACTTTATTAGCTGTTAATCAGTGAGGGTTAATCCAAAGTGTTACCAAAACATCTGTTGTATCAAGTACAGTTTCCACACTGAAGTCGTCTGAATATTTCTATATCAAGAAAATACATATTGAATTATTTTGTTTTCTCAACATTGCCCTTATGTACCTGCTGGAATACTGTTTTATCAGTTACGCCTTATATGAAATGATATAATGCATTTGGAAAACTGAAATAATCTTCTCTTTTACCAGAAATGATCTTGAGTTTATGTTTTTGCAATAAATTATAAATATTCAATTATACACGTAATAGAGATGTGTGGAGAGAAGCCAAAACTGCACTCAAGCAAGAATACAGTTACATTAAACTAACATTGCTTTAAAATGAAACACTCCCATTTTTATATTCAATTATTGTGTATTTTTGTCCACCTCTGTCAAATGTTCCATTGTTTTTTGTTTTTTTCAAATAGCTAGATTACAGAGAAATATAGTCATTATTCAAGTGAAAAGGGGGACATTTTTGTTTAAAAATATCATGGCGTTTGAAAACAAGAAAAGTCGAATTGAGAAAATAAAGCAACAGTTGTTGAAATAAGACTAAATGGCTTTGTCCCATTCTTAAATCTTGTTTTAAGACAGTCAGAATGTAAAAACACTAAATTAAGCAATTATTACCTGAGATTGTATCACTTTTTTTATGTCCAGCTATGAAAGAAAATATATAAATGTTGCCAAATATAGCAAGAGAAAAATGAACAGCGAGATGATAGATTTAGATCGATAGTTAGATAGATAGATAGATAGTTAGATAGATAGATAGATAGATAGATAGATAGATAGATAGTTAGATAGATAGATAGATAGATAGATAGATAGATAGATAGATAGATAGATAGATAGATAGATAGATAGATAGATAGATATGTAGTTAGATTTCATAGATAGATAGACGGACAGAGATAGACAGATACAGTAGATAGACTGATAGATAGACAGATAGATAGATAGATAGATCATTGTATACATGATAGATTTCATAGCTAGATAGACAGATATATTTTATAGATAGATAGATAGATAGATACAGTAGATAAGCAAGAGCATTAGTCAAATCTTGAGTCTTGTGTTTGATGGAAGCACATTCCTGGGCTCGGCCACAGCCTCAGACTCTTCTCTTCTTGTTCCTCTGCTGTTGTTGGAAGGACACATGTCTGAGCGCTGCTGTGTTTGTGTGGGACAGGAACGGACTGGGACCGTCCAAGGAGGGAGAGGCGCAGTACTCTGTGATCCACTGCACGGGATACATCAAAGCCTGGCCCCCAGCAGGTAACAAGGCCCCCCCCACCCCCACTGTGGAGGGGGAGAGAGGAGGGGGAGAGAGGGGATGCTTTTGGAGCCGTGTTGCAAAGAATCTGAATTTTGTGTATTTTTTATCAAATCAGGATTTTAACAGAAAGTAAATTATCAAAAGAGAATCGTTGTTGATAATAAACTTGCCTAATTTAACCAAAACCAAATAATATTCTTGGTGAGGGGAATAAGATGAGATATATAAGATAAACTTTTATTCAGTGGAAATATCAATCTCATGGGGTGTCCAAACTTTTTAGTAAGAGGGCCGCTGCAGTTGACCAGACGTGTCCAGGGGCCGACAACACAGACAGTGTAACAGCTTTGACTGGATCCGGCTGTTCTGAGCTTTAAAATAAGCAGTGTGCGTCCAAATAGATTCACATTTGACGGACGTTTACTGGTGCTTATGATCTCACATCTACATTAGCGCTGTATATGGAATTCTGGAACTCAGTATAGAAAAAAAAAAAAATTACGCCTGAGTTCCAAAGGGTTTGGGCTTCACAGAGAGGTAGAGCACGTCTATACTGGTGAAGCTGAAGTTGGATGACTCTGTGAACTTGTGTTTCTGATCTCAATGGCAAATTTGGGTTAGCAAGGCAGAGGGCCACATGACACAGCACAGAGGGCCGCAAATGGCCCCCGGGCCTTAGTTTGGACATTACCGCAGAATCTTAGGAAAAATAAGAAACTCAGACTCAAATTGCACACAGGAAAACACACAGGATCTAGTATTTAAGATAACACTGGGTAACAACAAAATATTTTTTGAAAATAGTCCAGGGTTTTCCAGCTGAATTAGACTAATTTTGATGCTCTGAGTCCAAAAATGACCTTGGTTTTGCTCAATCAGGTCAGGATATTTTGCTACAGAAATATTTTTTTTAATCGATTTTGCATAAAAAACAAATTTCTGCGGATCATCAGCTGAGAAACCCTTGACGTTTTTTCCGTTTTCCTCAAGAAATAAAAGTCAACGTATCCAAAGTCATTCAGTTTTTATTTATTCCATCAAATTTGATAAGCAGAATTCATAATAACGTAGACGTACATAATCCGTAACACTATGGCTGTATCTCAAAAAGTTGACCTGATAGAGCAAAATGCATGTGATATTCGGACTCAGAACACCAACATTAGTCTAAATCAGTTGAGAAACCCCTGACCATTTTTTGGCTGTCAACTGGTGTAATAGATAACAAGATAAATAATTTCATAAATAGGAAAGCATTGCACACTCAAAATGTAGATGTCAAATTTGGTGCTAATTTCATGACACTTTCTTGCTGTAAAGTGCAGCACGAACGTTCAATTCCACCCCCAGGCCTTTCTCTGTGGAGTTTACATGTTCTCCCGGTGTTTGCATACTGTGGGTTTCCTGCAGGTGCTAAAATAAAATAAAACATCTAGCATTAACATAATAAGAAAGCAGTCTATAATCTGTAATAAGTAGCAACATTTAAGTCCAAAATCCCTGACATTGCATGATAAAGAAGCAATAAAGTGCTGTTTAATCTAGTGCGGAAATAAAGTCGTATGTTTCCATCTGTCACTGTTAGCATTAGCTACAAGACTACGTTACAGCCGCGTGTATCTGGAACCTCAGTGAAATGACTTGAGAATCTGAGGACTGAACCATGACCTCACTGTAATCAAGGTATTTATTCACTCCGCTCTCGGCTCTGCCTCTGATTGGGCTGAGATCCTCTGGTCTGGTCCTTTTACGTGTGGCCGGTTCTTTTGTGATTGATTAGGGAACTGCGGTCAAAGAATGCCTCTAAATTCTCTCTCCGTGTCGAGTGCGACGCATGGTTTTGGACGTATGATTTTGAGGTTTTAAGCAGGTTTTCATTTATAGGTTTGTCTGGTGCACACTGGGGTACTTTTGCACATTTGTTTTACTTTTTCAACATTCAATAAAGCACAACATTATTCTTAATTTATACTTCTTCGGTAGAATTCACCCCCGTTTTCACCTCTACATACTCAAACGAAACTCAGGCCCCGTTTATACAGAGGCGCTGCGCAGACGTTGCCAAGCTATTAACAGAAACGACCACGCTCCTAATGCAAATCACACAGCGTTCATACGAGGATCAAAAACGATGTAGTTCTAGCGCCCGGACAGTGGTGAGCAGAGGAACTTTACCACACGACACACGACACACCAGACAAGCACATAAATAAAACAAGATTAAAAAGTGCAAGATCATTAAAGTGCTTTGTTCAGACTCGTCAAGGTCTGGTCTCTCTCTGGTCTCTCTTTCTGGTTTCTCTCTGATCTTTCTCTCTGGTCTCTCTATGGTCTCTCTCTGGTTTCTCTCTCTGGTCTCTTTCTGGTCTCTCTTTCTGGTTTCTCTCTGGTCTCTCTCTCTTTGGTCTCTCTCTGGTGTCTCTCTGGTTTCACTTTGGTCTCTCTCTCGGGTTTCTCTCTCTGGTCTGTCTCTCTGGCGTTTCTCTCTGGTCTGTCTCTCTGGCGTTTCTCTCTGGTCTCTCTCTCTGGTCTCTCTCTCGGGTTTCTCTCTCTGGTCTGTCTCTCTGGCGTTTCTCTCTGGTCTCTCTCTCTGGTCTCTCTCTCGGGTTTCTCTCTCTGGTCTGTCTCTCTGGCGTTTCTCTCTGGTCTCTCTCTCTGGTCTCTCTCTGGTCTCTCTCTCTGGTCTCTCTCTGGTCTCTCTCTCGGGTTTCTCTCTCTGGTCTGTCTCTCTGGCGTTTCTCTCTGGTCTCTCTCTCTGGTCTCTCTCTGGTCTCTCTCTCGGGTTTCTCTCTCTGGTCTGTCTCTCTGGCGTTTCTCTCTGGTCTCTCTCTCTGGTCTCTTTCTGGTCTCTCTCTGGTCCGTCTCTCTGGTCTGTCTCTGGTCTCTCTCTCTGGTCTCTCTCTGGTCTGTCTCTGGTCTCTCTCCCTGGTCTCTCTCTTTTCTTTGGCTGTGATGTCACCAAACCACACAGTCACAGGTCTATTGTTAAAATGAGCTGAGTTGAGTTTGTCTCTCCGCTGCAGGTATGACGATCCCAGACGAGGACACGGAGGCGGGACAAGGCGGGAAGTATTGTCTGGTGGCCATCGGGCGCATGCAGGTCAGTCCTGAACGTTGAGTGGTGATGTATTCCGCCAAGCAAATAGGCAAGACACGTTTATTTGTATAGCACAGTACACACATACACAAGGCAACTAAAAGTGCTGAACAAAAACAAGAAAGAAACAATCAAACAAGGCATTCAAATCATAAATAATCACAGTACATTAAAAAGGGTCAAGCTAAAACCCTACAGTTGTATGCTCAGCCCAACGGAACTGTTTTTAACCTGGATTTGAACATTGTCAGAGAAAAAGCCTGTCTCACATTTTCAGGATGACTGTTCCAGACTTTTTTGGATGCCTAAATCTGAAATGCTAACTCCCCGTGCTTAGTCCTGAGTCTGAGCACCAGCAGGAGGCCAGTCCCTGTGCTCCTCAGAGTCCCAGCAGGAGGCCAGTCCCTGTGCTCCTCAGAGTTCCAGCAGGAGGCCAGTCCCTGTGCTCCTCAGAGTTCCAGCAGGAGGCCAGTCCCTGTGCTCCTTAGATAAACATCCTGACAAACCGAAGAACCAGGAAAAAAACATTGACAATGGACCAGCAACAAGGGGAGAGGAGCACCGGTACATGTAGACACTGAGAGACACAGGTACATAAAGACACAGAGAGACACAGGTACATATAGACACAGAGAGACACAGGTACATATAGACACAGAGAGACACAGGTACATATAGACACAGAGAGACACAGGTACATATAGACACAGAGAGACACAGGTACATATAGACACAGAGAGACACAGGTACATATAGACACAGAGAGACACAGGTACATATAGACACAGAGAGACACAGGTACATATAGACACAGAGAGACACAGGTACATATAGACACAGAGAGACACAGGTACATATAGACACAGAGAAACACAGGTACATGGAGAAAAAGGTACATATAAACAAAGAGAGACGGGGCAGACAGTCAACACAGGGGAACAGGACAGGAAGTAAAGCTAAAACAAAACTACAGAGAAGTGAAGTCAATATTTATCCAAGTACAAAAAACAATCATGACAGATTTCAACCACTGTCTGCGTTGTTGTGTTGGAAATCAAATAGTTCTAATGAATCCTGGACTTTTGTTTTAGTCCATAAACAGAACACGTCTCAGGAAAATCTGGTGAATGGGACAAATAAGAAAAGTCATCATTAAGAAAAACAAATAGGCTCATGTGGTTTGTGTTGAGCTTCCATTTGGACGCTGATTTGTTGTGTTTCTGAGATGTGGAGCCATCTGGATGTGTGGTGTGTCTGTGTTTGTGTGTGTGTGTCCTGCTGGTCCAGGTAGATCCATCAACAAAATAGAATGTGCCAAGATCGGTTTCAAAGAGGCTGAGTTAGAGAAAGAAATAATATTGAGTGATTTTGGTATTGGTATTTTGGTAAAAGCCTTATATTTGCAGTGCATTTGGCTGCTGTAACCTCTGCGGATATTAAACATACATTTTAAATCTCAGCATGAAGCAAAACATGTTTTTTCTACAACACTATTTTGTGCCTTGTCCCCAGTGACATCAAGAAACAGTGTTGGCTTTAAAACAAATCAACAACACGCTTTTTTTCTCCAACATATGCCTCTGTGTGTCTCAGATTATCAAAAATCTTCCACAAAGTAGTGTGTGAAGACAAGGAGAAATAACAATTATCAACATACAACGGTCTTAATGATAAAAAATCCACTTATTATTATTATTATTATTATTATTAAGAGCAATAACAGTCAATTGGCTTTGAAGAAAATCAACAAAACTTGTGAAAAAAAGAATCCAACAAAGGCCATAATCCTTGTTTGACACTGCACATTCCCACGGTGTCTCAGATTAAAAAAAATATTCAGCAAACAAATTGATGTGTGTAGACAATGAAAAGGGGAGAAACTTCCATATGTCTCAAATGCAGGTATATAAAAGTGATGAAAAACAAAAACAAATGTATAATCAATATTTTTTGGGGGGTTTTTTGTGCTCAAAAACCAACTTACCAATAGTCAATGTTGATTTACTTTTTCCTTTCAGGTGTAACAGGTGTCATAGATACAGATGCAAAGAAAAGCACAGTATGTTTAATTTAAAGTTGCAATATGTAAGATTTTCATGTCAAGTCATTATTGCCAAGTTCAGCCTAGATATTAGAATCTCAAAATGAGTTTTACAGCCCCTAAATCTTGTTGTTGTTTTCATCATGGACTTTCTGTTTCACTAAATAAATAAATATATATGGTCCCAGCTGGATCCGTCAGCATATCTGGCAACCTGAGTCAGGGAGAGTGGAAGAAGGGTCGGCACTAGATCATATACGGAATTGGGACGAAACCGAAAGTAACAATCCTACTTACGAATTATTTTTAGACTAATAAGTCCTTAAATGGTGACGGGTTAAGTTTTAGGCGTCTGAGTAAGATGGTTAAGGTGGGTCTGAGTAAAATGGTAAAGGTTAGGGTTAAGGCTGGGTTGGGGTTATTTTATGGGAATGGCTGGTTAAGTTTAGGCATGAATAGGTAGTTTGTTATATTTACTTCCGCTTCCGTCCCGATTCCGTATATGATCTAGTGCTGACCGTGGAAGAAGTTGCTTTCGGCCAGATTTGTTCATACTGCTCCTTTAATTGGAGCCATCTTTTGGAATCAGTTGAAGGAAGACATTTCCTTGTGTCACCTTCTAGTGGGAGCAGCGACTCTACACTGAACTGTACAAAGTGTATTGTTACATTCATGACCATGGGTGAGGTCGGGACCATAGATCGAGCCTAAAACCAGAGCTTTGCCATCAGACGCTCTGTCAGTCTCATGCTGCTCACCGTGAACAAGAGCTGAGATACTTAAACACTCAAAACCATCGAGAGGACAAAGCACCTTTCTCTCTCCAGGAACCATCACCTCTCTCCTTCATAGAGTGGAAGATAATGGATGAATGGATGTAGCACTGCTGGTGTCTAGACTTATGTAACACTTATTTATGGGTAATTAATGATAACAATTAGGTTAGGGCTTTATTTATGCAAAGGAAAGTACATTTGTGGAAGGAGCTTGTGGTGAATGACGACAACGAAACCAATGTAACGTTTGAAACACCATATTTTTTTGTGTTTTTATACATTTCATTCTTGTTTTGTGTGAGAAATAACATGAATTTTAAAGAGTAACAACAATAAGCAATCAGAATAAACAAAAGTTCAACAAAAATCTCTTCAAAATGTTCAAAAGGGGATTTTTTTTGAGGTACTAGACATGAGAAGGCAGCGTTTCAGATTGATGCCACTAAAATCTGGACCAGTCTTCCTGAAAATGTGAGACAGACTTCTTCTCTGACAATGTTTACATTTAGGTTAAAGAAAGAAGGTGTTTGCCCGTGCATACAACTGAAGGATTTTATCTCTACTTTTTTAAGGCGCTCTACAAATAAAGATCCATGGATTGATGATTCAGATTCAGATTCATTTATGAAACCACATTGGAATACATTTTTACAAGTCCTCAGTGTGCACAAGACAAGTACTTACATAAAAATGCCTGTTGATGATGGCCAACAATAACAACCCCTAGCTTGCGGTGGCTATACAAAAAGAAACAACATCAGATTCATTTTATTTGCCATTTGATTTATAACCCATGTGACCCAAAGTTCCCCACTGTGCCCCAGACAAATACATGAAATAAAACCTGCATATAACCTCTTTTTCACATCACACATGTAGCTGCTGGTAGTTTCTGAAGCCGTGTGTCTCTGTTCCAGGTGACCAGCTCTCCCGTCTCCATGGACATGAACGGCCTGTCTGTGCCCACCGAGTTCTTATCCCGACACAACTCAGACGGAGTCATCACGTTTGTGGACCCTCGCTGCATCAACGTCATCGGCTACCAGCCCCAGGTCAGCACCGTACTGGCCCCTTCAGCCGTACTGACCTCTACAGTCGAATTGGCCCCTTCAGTCGTCTGGCCCCTTAGTTTTGTACTTTTTTGCTATTTCTATCTGTGTGTGTCTGTGTGTGTGTGTGTGTTTGTGTGTGTGTGTGTGCGTGTGTGGGGGGTTGAAACAAAACATGTGCAGCTCCCCGTACTGTGCTACGTGGAAATGGACCTGCTGTTTGGGATGACTGATGTCTTCCACATGTGTCTCTGTGATGGCACTGAGACTCATGAGTGTGTGTGTGTTTATATATATGTGTGTGTGTGTGTGTGTGTGTGTGTGCATGAGGACAGGTCAGCAGGACTCCGTGTCCGAGAGTCAGACACCAGCTTCACAAGACCATGTTTCATACAGACGTACAACCAGCCGCCCCCATTGTCACTGATACACTGATGAAAATTGGTTGTCAGGCCTTAGTTAGGATAAAAATATAGACATAAAATTGTGTTTGATTTTTCAAGCTGTGGACTGAGTTTGTGTTTGTGTGCAGGACTTACTGGGCAAAGACATCCTGGACTTCTGTCACCCAGAGGACCAGAGCCACCTACGGGAGAGCTTCCAGCAGGTAGAGCTTAAAACTCTTCTGTACTAAACTGTTTTGAGAGCTGAAAACTAGATGGATTTTGTTGCATACTGTAGTCGCATGTTTGTTTAGTTTGAGAGTTTGGCAGTTGTCCTCAGACCCTGTGCTCCTGCAGGTGGTGAAGCTGAAGGGCCAGGTTCTGTCCGTCATGTATCGCTTCAGGATGAAAAGCAGAGAGTGGATGTTGATTCGCACTAGCAGCTTCACCTTCCAGAACCCCTACTCTGACGAGATCGAATACATCATCTGCACCAACACCAACGTCAAGTACGGACTCACACACACACACACACACAATATGCACGCACACACACACACACACCAGTGGGAGTGGGTGTCTGGCCAATCACGGCTCTACGGATGCGGGTTGCCATGTTGGCCCTCTGTCCGTGGTTCTGACTGCGGAAACGGAAATACATAGTGGAAACCCAATGGCAACTTTCCAAGAGTTTGAAACGGCTTTAGAGCTTGGTTTGTCCTTATGTGTGGAGAGAATAGAACAATATCTGAACTCTGAAAGCGCTTTGGGTGACATTGGTCTGTAAAATGCGCTATATAAATAAACATTACTTACTTACTTACTTATTTCAAAACTTGGCTCTCATCACGTGGTGAAATGAAACTGTGGTATCATTCTAATTATTGGAGAAATGATGATGATGACTGATGATTTACAACACCGTGGATCACTAGATTATAGTCTGAACATTTGACATTTGAAAATCAATCTAAAACAATGCGTTAAACAGATCTGCTTTCGCTCTAATGCAGCAAAAACAAAGAGATGGAATAAACATCTGTAAAACAAAGAGCCCGGATGCCTCAGAGGGCGTGTGTATAAATACATGTTTGATTCATTGAAGCCTGCGTCACACTGTTCAAATGTCTATCGAACAAATTACAAGTACTCAACGGTCAGCGCAATTGTGTCTTGATTGCAGAGAATAAGGTTTACTCAGGCATGAGTCACTGTAATACTAGAAGCAGCAGAAATAATACAAAATAAATTTGTTAGCAGGATCTTAACAACTTTTTTATTGCCAGAAAATAAACCACGGGTCTCAAACCCCCCCCCCCCCCGCGTCCGGGGGGCGTAATAGCGTCCGGGAACAGTGTCCGGAAACAGCGTCCGGAAACAGCGTCCGGAAACAGCGTCCGGAAACAGCGGGTGCCACCTCCATAAACTCCTCCGTGTGTTCGCTGCAGCCGACTCGCGGGCGCATCCAATTTCTAATATCAACCTTCTTACCCTTCTCCTCTCTTCCTTATCATTCCTATCGTCACTGGAAGCAGAACATTACCCTAAATGCATTTTATATGATCTTAAAATGTGTTATATGTATGTTAGCCAAACCTGTTGCTGCCCTTAGCAGATGGAAAAAAAAGAAAGGAGCTTTCTGATAGAATTGGACGTAGCCAAATTCTGGGCTCTCATGTGCCCCGTACCCTGAGGCTGGCCTCATTACAAGTCGTGGTTTAGCGCGATTAAGACCCATATTTGTTGTCAAAAACACAATTTATGAGCCATCCTCTCAGCTGTAGACATGTTGATTGTAAATGAAATATGTTTCAACTTTGAACAACAATAAACGTGCTCTATAATTGGAGCGCACTGGATTTTTTTTTTAACTTTAATTTCCCGGTTCCCGTCATAACATTTCCCGGGAATCGGGAAATAGTTTTGATCAGATTTCCCGGGAATCCCGTGTCTCGGGATTAAACCCTAGTCAGGACTACAGAGGCTGGAGGATTTACCTAGTGTGCATGTTTTTAGTGGTAGGGGAAACCGGAGCACCCGGAGGCAACCTACCCAGGAGGAGAACAAACTCCACTCAGAAAGACCCTGTTCCAACTGGTATTTGAACCCAGGAACTTCTTGCTGAGAAGCGAGAGTGCTATCCACTCAGCCATTATATATATATACATATACATATACATATATATATGTATATATATATATTCATATATACATATTATAATACACAAGGGCTGCATGTTTTATAAAAAATACATCCTTAAATACTATTTCTCGTTTTTGTCTCTCTCTATTCTTTCAGTTGAAATGTTTACTTTCTCTACTGTTATTATTGAAGAATGAGAAGATTGGCCGTTTCAAACGTATAATTATCAATCCAGGAGCTAAATTCTGTGTGTCATTTTAGCGGTTTGATTATATAGCTGTGTGTGTTTCATAGATATCTTCATATTTTTTTCAGAAACACAAACCTATGTTTAAACATTACCCAGACTCCAGATAAACTCCCCATGTTTTCTGTTATTTTAGTTTTCAGTTTCAGTTAAATCAACAGTCAACATTAAAAGTATATTTATATGATACATTATAAAAATGACATACATACATGAACACATACAGTATATACACTGAAGTGAGGAAAAACAAGCCAAAAATTGCACAAATCTTGTTTTAAAACAGTCAGAATGTGCTCAGATCAAGATACCACTCGATTCAAGCAATTATTCCCTCATATTTTATTGTTTTTGCAGTGTACACACAGTGTATTTATTCCATAGATGTGAAATAATAACAAATAAATAATAGTATGAAAATTGACAGATGCCTATTCCTATATTAAAAGAAAAAAACAGTGGACAAAATATTGACTAAGTACTAGCACTTTACAGACTGGGTTCCATCTCCAACTGCCGGTTCATTTGTCCTTGTTGTTGTTGTTGTGAATTGTATTAGTCCTGGTCCAGAGTGCACCACCTTTTTTTCCACTAATGGTGTTCCTGGTAGATAAGTTTGAACAGATTTCTCTCCAAATACACAATTTCCTGTAGATTTGTTTACATTCTGAGAAACCATTTTTGATCAGCACCAGAGTTTGCGTTGGTGTAGTGAGTGGTCGTCGTCCACAAGCAGCAAAAACCTCGGCCTTTTAGTCTCAAGGTGAACTCTGAGTGGGCTCCGCGGGGCCAGGTACGTCATGATTGTGGCAGTTTTCTTGAAGGAACATTTTAGTTTTATATGGATGTCACCCAAAGCCCTAATGTGAATGTACTGTACTTTACAAAGGGACAAAAATCCTTAAAATCAGGTCAATGTCTAAATAAGTGAAAGATATCTGTGGATGGAACAAGGATACTTTGACTTAAGATTCTTGAAATGTTTGACTTTTGACTCTCTTGAAATGAGATCAAAATGGTATCAATGAATGAGAATCAGAATCGTTTTCTCAGCACTATGGTGTCTTGTGTATGAATTGTGCTATACAAATAACCTTGCCTTGCCTTTTTATTGCCATTGTAAGGAATTTGCTTTAGCTCAAGTTGCAAAAACAAGATATAAAAGTAGAAATAGACTCTAGATGCCTAAAAGTCTTAAAATTACTACTATAAATATAAAAGTGTCGTTCTTATTTCAAGGTTTTTACTTTTGAACAATAAACAAGTTGTTTGTTGAAATTTCCCCACTGTGGGACAAATAAAGGTTCTCGTATCTAATCTTTAAGACCAAGAAACTTCTCTTTGCTTCAGCCTGTTTACAACACAGCATCTAACGTCAAAACACACCTGACCAGTAACAGTAACATGGTATTTCAATCTGGAGAGACTCGAGCAGACAAAACATGGGTATTATTAGAACTGTATAATGTTGGCAGTAAGCTGACACAACATAAATTACACATACGACTCTGAGGATGATATTTTTAAGATTATATTTATTGCTGCTGTACGAAAACTTGGTTAGGATTTGGCGCTTCGACCCCGGCAAAGCACTGCAGAATTACAGATAGGGAAAGAGATCATGAGATGAAATCCCCCGGGCCTAGAGCTGGCCTGGAACGAGACGGAGATGGGGAGGAGGAGGGTTGCAGCGTGATTAAAGCTGTTGCTTGGATGGAGCTTCGGCGCGATGTGAAGCGAGATTACTTTGAGCGCTGTGAGCTTAGTACTCCTGTCTTCCAATATGAATATCCGCTTCAGCTTAGTTTGTCTAAAAACATTTTGTTAAAGGAACTAATCCACGTTCAAAAGGCATCATTTTATAACACCAGCAGAAATCTTTCCACTTTGCCATCGTCTCTTTTCATAAACACGACTGTGTCAGAATCCCCTCAGTGTTTGCTTTGCACCCGTCGACATGTCAGTTTTGCAGAAGAGATAATACCACACTCTCCAAAAGTAAAAGGAGTAAAACAATGTCTGACGCACAGAGTCACATAGAGACGCCTGTTTTCTTTGTGCTTGTCATCATAGAGCATTTTACTCTCAGGATTTGTGTTATCCTTAAAATATTATACTTAAACATTTTCTTTCCCCCCTTTGTTCAGACTTATATATAAACATATAGTACTATATAGTATAGTATAGTGTGGTACCTTACTACCTCTATAATACCTTTACTATAATATCATACTCACTTTATCTTCTTAATGTATCCTATATACTGTAGATATATTGATATTCACTAGCTACTTATGAAGAATTTACAGCTACTTATCTTTGCACTGTCAAAAATGATAAAATATGAGGTAATAGTTGCTTCAAGCGAGTGGTTTTCATCTTGATCTGAGCACATTCTGACTTAAAATTCCTTGTAACTAAATCAAGATATTTTTGCGTTTTTATTTTTAAGTTTGAGCAATGTTTTAATTTTTCATGTCAGTTTTTGAATTTTTTGTTGTGTGTTCCTTATGTGCTCTCACTACTGTCCTGCAAACATTCTAAACATTTACACTTCCCCTCTGTGGGACAAATAACGGCTCTCTCATCTTACTCTGTCTTATCTTAATATAATCATTGTCAAGCGTGGTTAGCACTTTCGCTTCTCAGCAAGAAGGTCCTGGATTTGCAGGGTTTTGCATGTTCTCCCCATGTCTGCGTAGGTTTCCTCCGGGTGCTCCGGTTACTAAAAACATGCACAATAGGTCTGAATGTACTGTGGAGGTGCAGTAAAAAGAGCAGTTTGCAAAAACTTACTGTGGCATACAATGATGCCAAGCGGATGCTGCTGAGGGTCCCACGACGCAGCAGTGCCAGTGTCATGTTTGTAAACGCAGGTGTGCCCACTTGTCCTGCTGTACTGCGTAATCTCATGTACTGTGCATGAGCAGACTGCCCCACTCTGTCCACAGCATCATTGCTGCAATGACCAACCCAGGTCTAAGCTCGATGTGTTATTTCTCCAGTAAATGGACTCACTGGCTTCAGAGCCTATACAGGAAATGACTTATCTTCTATCTTTTATTTGTTTTTTAGAATATGTTTTTGTATATCTTCTGTGGACCTTATACTCTTGTGTGCAAAATAAAGTAATACATTGAATTGAATTGCGTGAGTGAATGGATGGTGTTGGTTGGAGGCTTTGATGCTCCAGTGTGTTCGGCGTCTCGCTTCTGTCATCACCGTATAAGCGCTTCGGGGTGACCTGGGGCTGTAAAAAGCGCCAAATAAATAAACATGACTTACTTATTTGTGTATTTGTGTGTTGCAGACAGCTCCAGCAGCAGCAGCAGGCAGAGCTGGAGGTGCACCAGAGAGACGGACTCAGTGCCTACGACCTCTCCCAGGTACAGCAAATCAATAATATACCATCTGCTAAAACGTTTGGCTCTCTTAAAGCAAGGCCAAGACTGGAGGCTAAATCCACACTGATGAGGTCTAGGACAGGGTTGGACATGCACAAAGCCAGGTCAAAAATACACGTTTGGCTTTAAGGCCGGGGTAGCTATTAGTTTCAAACCACCATGACAAAGCTACACTGCAAAAAGTGACAAAAATAAGTAAAAAATGTTGTTTTTAATTTGAGTTGAGTGCCTTAAACAAGATTTGACAAAGCAAAATGATCTTGTTTTGAAAAGATACAAGAAATGTCTCCCTTGGTATGAGAAAATAAAGCAACAGGTCTTGACATAAGACTAAAAGGCTTTGTCCCATTGGAGAATCTTGTTTTAACACAGTCAGAATGTTTTCAAATTAAGATAAAAAAAAAAAAAAACACTCATTTTAAGCAATAATAACCTCATATTTTATTTGAGGTTTTTTTTTACTGTCTACACTTTTGCAGTGTAGACAGTATATAAGGAGTGGATGTGTTTGTCGAATGCAGAAAAAGCCAAACTCAGACATAAAAGTATTTGTTGAAAAAATCTGTGCTGTTTTTGGATATCAGCTTTTAATCACCAAAATTAGCAACGTAGCATATTAGCTTCTGTGGGTTCTTGGGTAACACACATTAGTTACCGCATTAATAAAACAAACTCAGTCTTCTTTTGCCACAACCTTTGAACTTTTGCTTGTTTGTAACTGAGGGTGCTACGGGGTTAAGCCCAAGATGGGGAGTGAGACACAAACAGTTACTGAGCTCGAGGAGTTTATTTTTCAGTGTAAGTCAGTAGGAGCCAGAGCGAGATTTAGAGATAAACTTTGTCCATAACTTCCAATCCAATCCACTTTATTTTTACAGCACATTTTGTCAAAAAAATATGTCCAAAGTGCTGCACAGAGATACAAATCAACACATTTAAATAAACAGTATTGCCGGCTTTATATGTTTGAAAAAAGTAGAAGTAAAACATTGTGCGGTCCACTGTTTTATCAATTTTATTTATAATATTGTTTTTTGTTTTACTTTTATATTTTAATTTGATAACTGGTATTTTATTGTTGTTTTTATTTAATTTGTTTTGCTGTTACTTTGTCCATAAAACCTTATTTATTAGGGTTCAGGGAGCTAGCATGTTAGCATCGCCCACCAATATACAGTCTTTGTATCAAACACTATTGAGTTGGCCATGATGGAAAAAATAATCCTTTTTTCCGTGTGAGATACGCATCATGGAAACATAATCAAAGCCTCTGTTGCAATAAACTGAACTGAGAAGGCTCTGATTAGTCAACTATTTGAGAAATGTGGCATTTTAAAATCAGGCACGATCGCTCTTCCTCCTGAGTCGGCATGTGTTTGGGAAGCACAGATGGTCACACGCACAAACGGCACGCCACGCCGAGAAGTCCGCACGAGCCAGACGATGGGAATGAACGCAGTTTAGTAACAACAACGGTTTATTATTTCTACCTTCTGTACGCCAGGCACGACACCGAATCTGTTAGAGCGGATAAACAAAACATGTTTTGAATATGGTTCAATTCAAAACATACATGTACATATTGTGCTTTTTTGTCCACGTTACTAATGCAGATCAGATTCAGTTGTTCATTTGCCATTTGCAGTAAAACCACATTGGAATACATTTGCAAAAGTCCCCAGTGTGCCCCAGACAAGTACATACAGGCATGTCAAACTCAAGCCCGTGGGCTAAATCCGGCCCGTAAGACCATTTTGTGTTGCCCCTGTAATGATTTTCAATTATCTTTATCATAGTAACTTCTAGCATGGATGGTACTTGGCTGCTATGGCATATTGTACTTAATTTTAAAGCCTTTTATCTTAGGAAAGCAACCATATAATTGAATATGTTCTAAAATGTTGATTGAAGTTATATTTACTTCAATATAATTTTTTGTATTTTTAATTGTTAATTCTACAATACAGCTCTTCTTGATATTTGGCTCAGTTCTGGTTGAACCCTAACATAATATAAAATAATATCCAAACTCATGTCAAATACAACAAATTTACCAAAAGACAAAAATATTACGAAAAAAAATGATACCACTTTTATTCTCTTGGACCCAACCAGCTCTTATGTTTTTAAAATTGGCCCCCGACTAAAATCTACCTCTCCCTCTGGTGGCAGCATAGGGAGTTGCAGGCAGATAGCATTTTATACCCTTCATACTTTTATCTATTATTTTACTTATTAAGATATAATTTTCCTAAAACGCTATTAATAATGACAACTTAGTTAAACCTTTTGCCGCAAAACTGTCTATACAGGGACTTGGCTTCACACATACGTGTCACAAATTTTTTCTTATATCATTAATAATAACATTAATAATGTATTTCTATTATTGATCCAAGTTGACCAAGTTGTGGGTGTCACCTTTTGCCTTTTCACGATACATTCTCAAAAAAAACGCTGGTGCTTCAAGGGTTAAATGCTCAACGTTGATTTTGCTGATTTTGCCTCTTTGCAATAATGTGTTCAAGATACACATGAGTTGCCACGACTTTCCCAAATTGTGTAAGCACATCTGGACTGATCCTTTTATAGTCCAATGTCTGGCACATGTTTTTCTCTAACCAAACCATACCCAGAGCTGTGAAGCAGATGCATTCAAAATAACAACATTTGGCATATTTTGCATGTTTTTGGTGTTTATTCTCTAGTTTTATTGGCCACTTTGTTTTTAAATTAGCGTAAAAGAGTTAGACAAGTTATTTATATATCTACAGTATATATCTAACTCAGCTTTAAAGCTGGATTATCAAACTGTAATTAAATCTATCCAAATTGTTTTTAGCTATTTCATATGTCTGTTATTCTGGCCTCTGTCACAACTTCAGATTAGCTTTTTCACACAAAAAAGTGAAAAAAGAGAGGGCCATCGTCACTAAGCCAGTCAACTCTCTGCCCAAAGCAATAAATAGTGACTCACAGGGATCTTTTTTTATAAGTAATGCAGTATATCAAGATATCTGGCATGAATTACATTGTGTTAATTTATTCCAGCCCTACACTGGAAAAAAGTGATGAAAAATAAGTTAAAAATTGCTCAAATTTGGTAAAAAGTATCTTAATTTCAGCGCATTCTTTAAACATGATTTGCCAGTGGGACAAAGAAAAATGGTCTTGAAAGATACAAAAAATGTCTCCCTTGGAATGAGAAGATAAAGCAACAGTTGAACAAATAAAGCTACAGTTGCAATAGGACTAAATGGCTTTGTCCCTTTGGAAAATCTTGTTTTAACTCAGTCAGAAGAGGAAAAACACTTGATTCAAGAAATGATTGCCTCATGTTATATCGTTTTTTGCAATGTAGTGCGTTTTTGAATCGAATCGCTATCAAATAATTATCTGAAACTTTTATTTTTCAACATTTCTTTCAAAAAATGTCCTGTATTTCCTGTATAGAGTTGCATTGGCACGTGCCCTGCAACGGAAACAGAATTCTACAACATGAAAGTATTCCTGTCATTGATCACTGTTTAAGTTGTGTTTTACTTCCAACATCAAACAACACAAAAAAACGATATTAGTCAAATATAAAAGAGCATCTGGAAGTGCCACTGTCGGTCTGCGGTGGCGTTTGCCGTTTGCTTTTCGCTCCATCTGCTTCTCGTTGTTTTACCGCTGAGACAGTTCCAGTGGCTTTAGTTTCTTCTGATGAAACTGTTGTGTGTTTTCCTCGTCCCTTGGCCTCACACTTGTATGTTCCGTCTGGTGGGGTCCCTCAGGTTCCAGTGGCCAGCGTCAGCAGCGGCGTGCACGAGACCGGGAAGACCATGGACAAGTCTGAAGGACTGTTTCCCCAGGACCGGGACCCTCGCTTCGCAGAGATGTACTCCGCCATCTCCAACTGTACGTCTGATGGTGCTTCACTCAGGGTTCAGGCGTGGGGACATTTGAGTTTCTGTGATGCTACATTTACCACATGTGTTTTATTAGTAAGGATTTGCTTTCAGCGCAAACAACTGGTGTGTGTTCAATTGAGAGAAAAAAAACAACACCACAGGAGCTGTTGAAGAGATCCTTTATTCGTCCCACTGCGGGGAAATGTCAGTGTTGCATCACCAGTTTCAGAAGAAAGAATTAAGTACAAAATCTGACTTTAGTATGATAAAAATGTCTACCTTTGGCATATTAAAGAAGCAGATATAAAACACTTTAAGATTATCGCTATGCTTGGTAAAAATGCTTAAAGCTGGAGTACCTAACTTTGAAGTCACAAAAAATGATTCCTAAAGTTCCTAAAACTCTCAAAACTGTAAGCGAAATTATTATTATAATTATTACTAATTAGAGACTCATTTCTGGATTTGTGATTTGCAATTTTTTTAATTAGGATTTTGATTTGATTGCAATTCATTGTTGTTACTACAATATTTATTTGATTACATTTCTGACCGTCAAAAAAATAATTCTTATATTCTTTTTAAAATTCATTCGTTCATATTCGAAGGAATTAAAAGATTGAATGATGTAAAGTCCTTAGGCCCTCCCCTGGCCCTGACCACAGCCAGTAAAATTGGTTCAAAGAAATAGTGAGACCATTGAGCAGAGAGCTCACCTGGTCCTGAAGCCTGACCATGGGTGGGTCTAACCAGAGCTTACATTGGAAAATTCACTTGGACGTTCCCTTTAATTGAAGGCTCAGAACCGGCTCGTTACTCTGAGATGTTCCCTAATACTGCAGTGATTGACTTCACCCAATCACTAGATTAGATAACAACATCCCTTCATAATGTCAGAAATAATAACATGAACTCTGCCAGGATGTGTGAAGTTATGAGCATTAACAGACCTGACCTGCTACTTGGCCTGAGTGATCTCACATCTGGCTAATTCCATGTAACGTGGAATACTAATTATGAGCGCTGGCTAAAACCATGGACACCGCAGTTTTAATGGATTTATATTATCTTGGTGGGTGGACCGTTTCCATGGTTACGCCACCAGATGGATGCTGTCGCCATGTGAGGCAGGTCGCACCACCAAACAATCATTTTCGGTGAGGGACGAGCTTCTCCCACAGCAAAAACAAAAACACAGAGACATTTGGACAAAGAGAAACTGTATAGAATTTTATGTTTTTAGAAATGGGTTGACTTATAATGCAAGATTGGCACATCACACACACGTTCACACACACGCACACGCTCACACACACACACAGAGGCAAATACAGTCTCACTCTGTCTCACTCTGTTTCACTATATAACCCTCTCTCTCACACTTAGTCAGTCTCTCTTTCTATCTCTCTCTCTCACACCTTTTCTCAATATTTCTCTCACTCTTTCACACACTATATCTCACGCTCTCTCTTTCTCGCTCCTCACTATCTCACTCTCTCTCATTTACTCACTCACTCACTATCTCTATCTGTCATACTCTCTCTCTCACTCTTTCTCACTCTCTCACCGACTCACTCCCTCTCTATCTCACTCACTCCCTCTCTCTGTCTCACTCTCTCTCTCACTCTCTCACCAACTCACTCTCTCTCTCTCTCTATCTCACTCTTACTCACTCACTCACTCACTCACTCCCTCTCTCTCACACACACACTCTCTCTCACTCTCTCACTGTGTTATTGCTTGTTTTCAGCCGGGGAAAAGAAGATGCTGGTGCCGTCGTCCACAGCAGGAGGTCAGCTCTACTCCCAGAGCTCCTTCACTCAGGGACACTCAGGGAAGAGCTTCAGGTACGAGGAGAGAATTGAACCACACATTGCAGAGATATGTTGTTACACACTCACACACAGACACGCACTCATACACACACAGACACAAACAGACAGACAGACTGACAAACACACACATAGAGACAGACTGACAGAAAAACAGAGACCCAAAGAGACAAACACACACCCACAATCACAGACACACTCACAGACATGCACACACAGACCCACAGATACACACACACAGACCATTACACACAGAGACAGGCACAGACAGAGAGACCTACAGACACACACACAAACACACAGAGAGACACAAAGAAAGACAGGCTCAAACAGAGAGACCCACAAACACACACACACACACAAAATAGACAAACATACCCTGGTGACAACATAACCTCTTTGGCAGAAATTATTCTACAATACATTCCTTGTAAACAGCATTCATAACATATCAAACGTCTGCCGCATGTGTCCGCTCTCACAGCTCCTCAGTGATCCACGTCCCAGGAGTGAACGACATCCAGCCGTCTGGATCGGCCAATCAGAATCTGGCTCAGATCTCCCGACAGCTGAACCCGGGACAGGTGGGCTGGTCTGGGACACGCCCCCCTTTCTCCGGACAGGTCAGAACACTCTCTCACCCTGTACTGTTGCTTCTGTCAGGAGAACTTTTTTTTTAATCTTCCTAAATTTGTGACTTTTTTTGTATCAATTTATAGTTCATTTCTATGTCATTGTTTTTTATGAAATCTTTTTTTTTTTTGAGTTATCACTTTAATTTTCAGAGAAAAGCGAGTGCTAGTTACCATGGCAACACACTGTTTACCGTTAGCAGTTAGCATTAGCCTCTCGACAAACCAGTTTTAGCACTTATTTAACACAAATAAATGTAAAAAACGAAATGTTTTTGGGGAACATGAACCCTTCCGTTGGTTTGAATGAGAGCAGCGCCGACACTTAACTATGATAACTATGTTACCGACATGCATTTGTCATGCAAGTAACTCAATTAATAAGAAAAAAATCATCATAAATATATAAATATTATAAAAACAGTTTGAAGGAGTGCTGAAGTCCATCTTAATTATATTTTCTTTAATTTCTGCTCCTTTTTATTTGTGTGACAGGACTACAATTATTTGAAATATAATTGTAATATGTATTGTCATGTTGTCATGTTTGAAATAAATAAAGTTAGTGACTCTCATCGTGCCCATGTCTTGTTCACAGTCCAGTAAAGCTCAGTCCAGTCCGTTCGGGATCAGCTCTGGGCACAGTTACCAGACGGACCCTGCCTCCTACAGCCCCCTGTCCTCCCCCGCCACCTCCTCTCCCAGCGGCAACGCCTACACCGGCCTCACCAACCGCACCACGGCCTTCGGTAACGCATCACCGTTCAAACAGCAGTTTTCTTTAATTCAATTTCATCCACTCCAATTCAATTCAATTTATTTTTGCACAGCCCTAAATCACAACAGTAGTGATCTCAGAGGACTTTACACTGCAAAAAGTCATGAAAAAAAAAAAAAAAAAAATGTGCTCAAATTTGGCAAAATGCATCTTTATTGTAACCTTAAAACAAGATTTCCCAATGGGACAAAGCAACATGATCTTGATTTAATAGATACAAGAAATGTCCCCCTTGAAAAGTTCTTGAAATAAGCAAGCAATTCAAATAATTATTACATTATATTTTATAGCCCATCTAGACCATATAAGTCAAATTATAGTCCAATTGTGCATCAATGTTGAATGTCAATTGTCCTAGATCAGCTTTAACCAGCATGTTTCCTTTCTTTAAACAATTAGCAATAAGCCAAACAAAATGTTGCACCTCTCTGTGGACCACGGCGTAAAAACCCTTCGAGTTGTCTTGTGTCTGAACTATGCTACACAAATAAACTTGCCTTGCCTTTGTTGTTTGTTCAGACGTGTCCGGAGAAGGCAGCCAAGGCAGTGCACAGTTCCAGGGGCGTCCCAGCGAGGTGTGGTCCCAGTGGCAGAACCAGCACCACAACCAGCAGACGGGAGAGACGCATTCACACTCCACCCCCAACCAGAGCGAAGTCTTCCAGGTAACGCACAGGGACATGTAACAGCCCCTGTTACATGGACACAGTACCTTTGTGCTTCAGTGCCTTTGTGCTTCAGTCTGTGCTTTGGTCTTGAGCTGATAATGTTCTCCTCCACAGGACATGTTGCCGATGGCAGGAGACCCAACCCAGGGAACAGCCAACTACAATATTGAGGACTTCGCAGACCTGGGCATGTTCCCACCGTTTTCTGAGTAGCCCCTCCCCCTACTGTGGACTGGTCAGCTCAGAGTCATGAGCAGCACGTACCTCATCTCTCTTCAGTGCACTGAACCTCCACCTCCTCTGTTTCATGGTGCTCCTGGAGCCTCTTTCTCTATTTCATGGTGCTCCTGGAGCCACCTCCTCTGTTTCCTGGTGCTCCTGGAGCCACGAACTATGGACCTCCTTGAACCCTGCAGCACAGACTGCTGCAGCCAGGGACACGACACTTACAATGTCCTGTATAGCATTAACTTGTGTACATCATGTGAACTGTTGTGCAATGATTTCTGAAGCATTCCAAAGCAATGCTGACCATTCCATGTCCTCATCTCTTCATCAGTCATGCGCTCAGCCCACTGCGTTTTGCCCACTCATCCAAGGACCATGTGTGGAACAGAGTGCCTATCAGAACCAACATGGAACCAGCCACCAGAACGGAGTTCCAGATTGTAGGAACTGTTTCCTGCAAACTATTTAAAGCACCGTCTACTTTCCTGGGCCAGTTTTGTTCTAATCCAGTCTGAGCAGAAACCATACAGTGGTTCTTTAGAATGAGACATATATAAGTACATGTATTTTCAAAGTTATCTGTTCCAGGAAATCCATGCTACTTTAAAAGTCTGTATAAGTCGCTCTATCGTTTAGAGAACTGTGCTGGAATGGATCAGCTCTGACTTTTGTTGTCCTCCTTGTTTTTCCTCGCTACAAGATTCCACTTTGACAACTGGTTTTGCAAATTGAAGTCACCGGGAGAATATGAAGCCGAGTGTATTCATATGAGTGTTTGTTCCTGGTCTGTATTTGGTCCTGTCCTGGACTGATTAGGGAACTTTCACAGTATAGAATCCAAAGGGGTTAGCGAGGCGCCCTCTCAGTCTTTCTGAAAACATAGCACTTCATGTTGTCATTTTCAAAAGGCTCAAGTTCTTAGCACACGGATCAGAAAGACTGTGGTTCTGGGACTGCTCCTGGTGCTGCCTTCACTGGTGGGGACTGCTGGTGTGACGGACACAGGCTTTTGCTAAAACCTCCGCTCGATGTTTTTGTAAATAAAGGTGATTTTTATGTCATTGTTGTTCTTTCACACATGTTTTGTGTAGCTCTAATATTATTGTGTGCATTGTTGTGCATATGTAACTCTGGCATTAGTTAGTGAGTCTCTGTACACTCTGTAAAAAGTGCAAAAATGTTCCGTTCTTTTGTGTAACAGACTGTGTTCGTGGCAATAAACCTCGCTACATTCTCATCTGCAGCTCTTTCTCCACCACACACACACACACAAACACAAATACTATTCTAGCAGCCGAGTATCCAGGATTCCTTCTGCCATTAAAAGATTAAAGGTGAAACTCAAAAAATTAGACTGTTCATAAGTTTACATACAGCTGTAAAGCAACTTAAACTGTAATGATGAAATAATAATGCATCGGTTTTATACACACATTTTTTTGGACACTCAAAGATGCACCACGTGTCATTACCCGTTCACTTCTTATCAATCAATCAATCAATCTTTATTTGTAGGGCGCTTTTCCTGCACAGGGCAACACAAAGCGCCTCACAGTCCACACCACACAATGCACAAATCATCACCATTAAAATACAATTAAAAACACATATGTAATTAAAAAGCATTAAAATCACATAAGTAATTTAAAAACATAAGAATCACACAAGTAATTAAAAACAATAAAATAGTTAAAAACACAAAAAGTTACAACAATAAATAACAAGGTGTGTTAAAACGATAAAATTCTCTAGTTGTATGCACAGGAAAAAAGAAAAGTCTTTAACATGGATTTGAACATTGACAGAGAGGCAGCCAGTCTCACATCCTCAGGAAGACTGTTCCAGACTTTAGCTGCATAAATCTGAAAAGCAGCCTCCCCCTGTCTAGTCCTGACTCTGGGCACTAACAGGAGTCCCGTCCCTGCGCTCCTCAGAGTCCGGGCTGGTTCATATGGGGCTAGCATATCATGGATGTACTTTGGTGCAAGGCCATGGAGAGACTTGTACACCAGGAGAGCTGCTTTAAAGTCTATCCTCTGGGCCACGGGAAGCCAGTGCAGAGACCTGAGGACCGGACTAATGTGGTCGTACTTCCTGGTTCTAGTCAGGACTCGGGCTGCAGCATTTTGAATATACTGCAGCTGTTTTACTGCATGTTTGGAGATACCTGTGAGCAGGCCATTGCAGTAATCCAGCCTACTGGAAACAAAAGAATGGATAAGAATCTCCAAGTCTGCCCTGGACACAATATTTTTAATTTTGGCAATATTTTTCAGATGATAAAAAGCTGCTGATGTTACCGATCCAATGTGGCTATTGAAGTTTAAGTCAGAGTCCATTATTACTCCCAGATTTCTGACCTTATTTAAAGGCCTTAGGGAGAGAGACTGAAGGTGACAAATGACGGTCTCTCTTTGTTTCTCGGGACCAAAGACAATCATTTCGGTTTTGTCCGCATTTAGCTGGAGAAAATTGCATTGCATCCACTCACTGATCCGCTGGATACAGCGAAGGAGTGAGTCCACCGGTCCATGTTCTCCTGCAGTCAGTGAGACATAGATCTGAGTGTCATCAGCGTAATTGTGGTAGGACACTTTCATACTTTGAATTAACTGACCTAATGGCAGCATGTAAATATTGAACAGGAGAGGTCCCAGAATCGACCCCTGTGGCACTCCGCAGGTCAGGGCCATATTATCTGAGACATAGTCTCCAATCTCCACACAATACTTCCTTTCTTCTAGATAGGACCTAAACCAGCTTAGGGCGGTACCAGCAACACCAACCCAGTCCTCCAGTCTCTGCATGAGAATCTCATGGTCAACGGTGTCGAAAGCGGCACTCAGATCTAACATGACTAAAACAGAGACTTTTCCTGCATCAGTGTTAAGCCGAATATCATTTGTTACCTTGACTAGAGCGGTCTCAGTACTGTGGTGTGGTCTAAAGCCAGACTGGAACATGTCAAATGAGTCATTAGATATTAAAAATTCAGTAAGTTGTTGGTAGGCAACTTTTTCAAGAATTTTTCCCATGAAAGGCAGATTTGAGATGGGACGGTAATTTTCAAGTACCGCAGCATCCAAACTGCTCTTTTTTAGGAGGGGCCTGATGACTGCCTTTTTCAGGGCCATTGGAAATGTTCCAGATAAAAAAGACATGTTTACTATTTGTGTCAATGAGGGTAATAGACTACACATAACAGACTTCAGGAATCTAGGAGGTAGTACATCCAGACTGCAGGTAGAGGAACTAAGACCTGTGATTATCTTTTTAACAGTTTCATCATTGACAGGTGCAAATTGAGCTAGCTCACAAAGCCTCACTGGATGTTGCATTGTTACTTGTGTTGTGGAGGTGATGGTATTTCTGATACCCTGAACCTTGTCTCTGAAGAACTGTGCAAACTCATTACACCTGGATTTGGAGTAGTGTTCTAATGGCAACTCAACAGGGGGGTTCGTTAATCTATTGATTGTTGAAAATAGAACACGCAGATTGTTGCTGCAGCCTTCAATCGTTTCAGAAAAGTATAATTCTCTTGTTCTACGTAGTACTCTGTTAAACTCACACAACTTCTCTTTTAAGAGTTTATAATCACCCTGGAGGTTGGACTTTCTCCACTTTCTCTCTGCTCTCCGGCACTCTTGCTTCTGTGCCCTGACCGGGCCTGCTTTTATCCATGGGGCTTTTTGCTTATTTGTGACCATTTTTACCTTCACAGGGGCAATGGCGTCCAGAACATTCAGCACACTAGAGGTGACAGAGTTAAACAGTTCATCTACAGTAGAACATGATGTGTTCTCAAAATGGATCATTCCCATAAATAGTTCACCCGTGTTTTCATTTAAGTGTCTACTTCTAACAATTTCATACACTTCTTACCCAGTGGTGATAAACTACTACTGTAGAAACTTTCAACAAGTAAATTTAAAGGAGCAGTATGTACAGATCTCGTACTGCAACCTCTCCCAATCTCCATGACGGGTTTGCCAGATACTGTATGCAAACAAATCCATGCTGGGACCATAATATCTGAAAAGAGTTTTGTCAATAACAAATCCAGATCACGGACTGTCTGATTGGTGAAACAGTGGAGGGCGGGACATCAAAATGAAAACAATAACAATATTTAGTGGCTGTAAAACTAGTTTTGAAATCCAAATATCTCCCCTGAACTACTGTTATCAGTAAAAGAAGAATTTGAAAAGAGCATGGTTTATTAATGCCTTTTTGACATAATTATGGCCATTTAATAATGACTTGACATGAAAATCTTACATATTGCTACTTTGATAATATAGTAACAGTCCAAAGAAGCTCTAGGAAAACAATAGACAAACTCCTTCCTCTACCTGAGGAAATACAAAAATACAGACTCAACAAGTCGAATAAAAAGTGTACTGCTTCTGCTGCAGTCGGCAGTGGCTGAGTGGGGTCCACTGTAGAAATAGGTTTCCTGATAAGCCTTATATTAAACAGGGGGCTCCCCTTGCAGCAGGCACCAGCTCACCCACAAGACAGGGGAAGAGACTCAGACACACTAGAGGAGGAGGAGACACAGTAGGAAAGAGGAGCACAGAAAACTGCCCTGATGACAGCCACAGCTGCCCTGGGGCACACTTACAGAAGTGAGGCAACCAGTTCTGGATCCTGGACAACCTCACAGATAGACCCCAGTTTTTGTGAGAACCAGGGACTTTGTGTCTGAGGTCCTGACCTGCAGTGTTGGGGTCCTCCAAGGGACCGTGCTCGCACTGTTCCTCTTCACCCTCTACACTGTGGACTGGAGACACGACACGGACGGTTGTGTCCTACAGAAGTTCTAGACTGGACTCAGAACACAGACGCCCTCTTCAAGAAGGATCAGAGCCGGCTTCTTTTGGAGAGTCCAAAAGACATTCTATGACTCTGTGGTGGCATCAGCCATCTTGTACTGTGTGGTCTGCTGGAGCAGCAGCATCACAGAGAGGGACAGGAAGAAG